ATATATATATATGTTGAATAATTTTAATAAATAATATATATAGATTCTATTTATATCTAGATGTTATGAGCCAGAATAATAATTTTCTGTCTGTCAACGAAAACTCCACATCATCATCATCATTTAATAATGATATTGATGAAAAAAATCAAATATTATTATCGAATTTACCGGATGAATTAAATAATGATAATGATGATTGGAAATCAGCTGATGATAATCATGATATTGATATCAATGAAATTCAAGATGATTTAATAACAGTTAATAATGAACAAAACAATAATGATGGATGGGCAAATTTTGATACATTTGAAAATAATACCGATCCAAAATCACAGGTGAATTATTTATTTCATTTTCTTATATGTATATATAAACTATCTAATCGATGATACGAAAGTCTTAGTACAAAATATTCGTTCATTTTTCTGCCACTTAAAAATATCTAGTAAGACTTTATTAGAATTAGAATTTTTTTTACTATTTCTGAATACATATCCAGATTTTTCTTCTGAGATAAAATTGAACAACTATTAGTAAATTTTATGAAGAAGTCTAATACAGTGCAAAATAGCAGTTTTGGTACAGTCCTTAGTTTGTGTCTCGGAACAGTTATAATAAGCGAAATGTCATCTATGCATTTTCACTAAAAAAAGTTAAATTCTATGGAAATCAACATTGACCAAAAAGTTACTTTTTTTTTCTTCAAAAAATACAAACGTTTAAAAATCTGTCATACAAGATAAAATCGAAAAGTAAATAGCACATTCTGTAATTGAACTATTAAAAACTGTTTCGCATTTTGAATTTGATCGATTTTAATTAAAATACAAAATTGGCTAAAATAGTATTCTGTACAAAATTATTTTTGGCTAGTATTTATTTGAGCAATAAAAAAAAAACTTTATTGAGCAATTTTATATTATTAAATGGACAATAATTAATTCATTAAATAGCAGTAATAATTTCATATTTTAACAACAAATAAAAGAAAAATTGCATTATTTTTAGTTACAATCGAAAATAAAAAAAAAAGAAATGAAACATATAGTATTTTATTGGGTCAATAAAGTTTTTTATTGCTTAAGTGGTCTGCCTCTGTTTTTTACGTATTTCTATAAATAAATATGTTAAATCCGTAATATGATCTTGTACATATGATGTTTATTTTCGAAAAAATAAGATCTCCCACTGTTATCACACACATGTAGACCTGTATCTGAGATGACAGAATATACTAGGAATAGATATAATACGAATAGAATATATCTGAATGATGACTTGAAAGAAAGAAATGAACAATTGAAGAGAAAGCAATATGGGAATGTATCTGACAGTAGGGAGCTACACCAGGTTTTCTGAACTCGATCAGAGGATTTTGGGCCATTCTATTTTTTGAAATACTGAACTGTTTTTCGAATACACATCTGTGGGGCAATGTTTCCACTTTCATACAATGTGATTGTAACTGTACAAAAGACATTCAGAGTTGAAAGATTTTAAATAAAAAGGTTGGAGTTCATACTTGGACTCTATTAGATCCGAATGTATGGACTCGAACGTTTTTTATTTAAAAATTTTCGTCTTTAAATGGTTGTTGGACAGTTCCAATTGCATAGTCTGAAAGAGTAAATACTAATCTACAAAATTTGTATTCGAATAACCATTCAATATTCGAGATGATAGAATGATTCCTTTGGTCGGATTCAGAAAAACCAGTACAGCAAATCTGACAAAAGAGAAAGAGAATGAAAGGTGTAGATACATATGTAGAATAAAATGAATCCAGTGTTCCTTTTTTATATAAAGTTTACCTTTAATTTAAGTAAATTATTGCTCATCCAATATATTTATTGCTAAATTTCATTATTGCTCATTTCAATTTTATTTTATTGTTCCAAAAAAATAGGGTTAACATAAAAAGATGTTATAGGAAAGAGTTTTGCTAACAACACATAATAGAAACACAAGATCATTTGTTAATAAAACAGAAATATTTTAATGGATTTTTTCCAGTTAGCTTTGGAATCCGTTGAGTTGGTCCCAGATCTGGCTTCGAAAACTTTGGACCCAATGGGCGCTACCCTATACATTTCTCTGACAAATTGTCTGTGAAATGTGTAGAATGCACTAGTCATCGAAATACAAAAAAAACGGAAAAAAATTATCTCATATCATCGGAACGACTATTCTATTCCAATTAGAAAATTTCATTGAAAGTATCAAAGTACGGTTCGAAAATTTTGCACTCGGCGAACTCTAGTCAACTTATCACTGCTATCTTTTTGTACTACACGTTCGTTCGCAACAATTCTTGTAGAAAAGATCACAATCCTTACTTTTGTTTGTAGAACTATAAGATACAAGAAAAAAATAGACAAATAACAAAAGTAGATGTAACAATAATCTATAGGATATTACAACGTACAAAGAAAACGATGGAATTATTGATATAGATTGAAACGTCGTTCTATGATAAGATATTCCGCATAGAATTGTTTAGTATGTTTACTGTGTCTGTGATATAAAATAAATGTCTTGAGGGATGGACATATGTCTAAATATATATGTGTGTTGTTCTTTTTGAAAATCTGCTATTTTTTCTAAATCTAATATTTTTATAGTATAGATGGAATTGTTCAGGAGAGAGGTAAGAAACATAGTATTCTGTATAAAGCATTATTTTGAAACAATTTGATGATAATTATTCAAACTTACCTGAGAAGGAAATTCTGAATACATATTCGAAAAGAGCAGGAAAAAAAAATCTGATTCTATTCTAACTCTAACGAGTTGTCTTTAAGTGATCGAGAAAGATGTAAATATTATGTGTCATGAGAAAAATTTCGTACCGTTGGGACATACTGTCATTTTCACAAATTTATATTTCTCTACTACTAATCAATAATGGGTACAAGCTCGCGTTTTTTTTTTAATTTTCTATGATTTGATTTAGAATAGTTCGTAATTCGAATGTCAACTAATTGAATAACATTTTAGATTGTTCCTGTAACAGTATCGAACCTAGCTGAAGATGATTGGGCAAATTTTAAATCGAATCCAATACAATTTACTCAACATGACCTACAATTATCAAGTGACAAGCAATCAACAAAAATAAATCATGATGATGATGTTTTTGGTGATTATGGTGAAGTACAAATTTGTCAACAATTTCAAGGATCTTCTCTACCAATTGTAAGTTTATTTATAGTGAAAATTTTTTGAATTATCGAGTAATCTTTACTTAAGAATTCTTTAAATACTGAATCAATTAAATCTTTGATCTCAACTTGTTTTCCATTAGAATCTTCAATATTATCTAAAGATATTGATAATTATATTCCATTTGAATTACCATCTTTTACTACATATAAAGATCAATCAAAACAATTACCATGTTTTGAACATTGTCTATCGTAAATATTCATTTTATTCTATTTTTTAAAAATTATTCTCTTAATATATATTTCTAGTTTATGGAAATTATTATCAAATATATCAAATGATCCAATAGGAATTCAATATCAATGGCGTAAATCAAATATTGAACATTTATTTCATCAAGCATTAGGTGTTCATGAACGATTTCGTGTATGTCTTAACATACAACAATCATGTATATTATATTAAAAAAAAAATAAATTCTAGACTAAACCTATTTCTTTAACTTCACAATCAGAATTTCAAATGATAACATCAAATGTTAATAATGAAAATAAAGTAATATATTATTTTGATGAATATAATCAAAATAAATTCATTATTTATTTATTTTTTTTTGACTAGGTATTACCACAAACTATGAGTCCACATTTTGATTGGAAACAAAGTGGTCTAGAAAATCCACTTACTAGTAAGAATTTAATATTAAATTTTATCATAGAACATAGATAAAAAGACTTCAGATAATTAATTATTCTTAAATAGATAATGATAGTTCATCTCTTTCAATAAATTCCAATCAGATTGAGGAAAATCGTAAGTTAAGTATAACTAATCTAATCACATAATTACTCTTTGTTTTAAATACACATGCATGTCTATTAAATATATATATGTATATGAACCATTTTCTAAGTAGTTAAATATTTTTCAACTTTAAGTTTTCGATGTAAACAAAACACTCGATCTTGACTATTATATTTCACCAATACGAACTTCAACATCAAATAAACGAGAACATATTACTTCTTCAACAATAATACATCGAAATAACAGTCCAATTCTTCAACAAAATGCAACACCAATTAAAACAATTGATCTATTTCCAGGTTCAACAAGAGTATTAAATGATGATACTAAACCTGATGTTGATTCAGTATCAAATTTTAGTTTTATGAATCCAAAAGCATTAATGCTTCGAACAAAAAATTAATAATGAATCAACGATATTATATTGATCTAATTTCTATTATTATTCAGTGATATTGATAATTAAGAATTTTTCTTTTGTTCACTTGTTAATTATATGCAATTAAAAAAAAACATATTATTGTGATATATTTTTTTGTACAATATTTATATTATCATTATCATAAGAAAAACAAAAAACAAAATACAAATATATATATATATATATGAATAAATATTTTATTTGTTTTCTTTGCGATATTGTTTAACGAGATTAGCCATTTCGAGCATGGCGTCAATGAGACCATCACCCGTAATAGCACAGGCAGATTGAACATACCATTTGTGTTTATCACGAAGTTCATTCATACCTAATTTATCAATGATTTCTGATGGTTTCATTGCATCTATATGAGAGAAGTTTGTTTGTTTGTTTTTTTGTCGAAAAGAACGAAAGAAAAATAATAGAACTTACTAGGAAGATCTTGTTTATTAGCAATAATAACAATAGGTACATTGGACATGCCAGGAAATTTAAGAATACCTTGAAGTTCTTCTCGTGCTTCGTTTATTCGTTCTGGATCATTACTATCAACAACGAATATAAGACCTTCTGTTCCTTGAAAGTAATGATGCCAAAGACTACGGATTTTTTCTTGACCACCAACCTTAAAGAGAAAAGAAATTTCGATTAGATTAAATATAGATTTAACAAAAAAGAATACATACATCCCATACAGTAAATGATACACCACGACATGGACTAACTGTTTCGACATTAAAACCTAGAATGAAATATAAAATAATAAATAAAATTGCTTTTTTTTTTCTATATTGTTTAATATATACCGATTGTAGGAATTGTTTGAATATTTTCATCGAGTTTCACTTTATACAGAATTGTTGTTTTACCAGCTGCATCAAGACCAAGCATTAAAATTCGAGCAGGTCTTGTTGTACTAAATGCAGCAAAAGCATCAGATATTCGACTGAGAAAAAGACCCATGATTAATTATTATTTAATAGATAAGATCGATGAAAAATTATTTTTTGAAAGAAATTTCTGATGAACGATCAGTATTTAAAAAGATTCGTTGTATTGCCACGTCGATGTGTAATTATAAAACGAGACAAACGTGTCAATAACTGAGTCAGCTGTAAATTGTGTAATTCTTTTACCTCAACGACACGTTTCTGCTGCTATGAATCATTATCATTCTGATGAAATAACTAAGAATCTAGTTAGAAAAATTTATCTTTATATGATGTATAGAATAATTAGAAATTATTATTTGTTGTTGTTGTTTTTTTTCAACGAAGAAAATAAATTCGATTTAAAAGATTTAAATACAGAAAAAATAAATGTCATCTTGACATATTAAAACTTTTGTTTGACTATAACTCATAGTTATGTTTTAAACGAATGAATCGAAAATATAACTAAAAAAAATATTGTAATTTTTCAAATTTTTTTTAATAGAAAGAATAAAAAAAATATTTTATTATTCAATTGTCTTTTATATAATAACATGAAATAGTTTATCGAAATCAATATTGTAAAAATAATATGTCTATCAAAGACGAATTTTATTTTGCCTATTAATATCCTATATTCTGCAGCTACTATCAAGAGTAGATGTTACTCTTTCAACATTAAAATCTAGTTACAAATAAAGATTAGATTAATTGTTGGATAGTCGAAAAGTTTATAAAATATTTGTTTTTTTGTATTAGAAAAAATATAGATTATATAATCTGTATTGTATCAAAATCGATGAAATTTAAATTTGATAATTATATTCTATTGTTCTCTATTTCTTTTATGTTTTAATGATTTGAAATGACAAAGCTATTAAATATGAATTATAAAAATTATATGATTGACATCGAATATAAATAACGAAATTGAATTTTAATATTTTATTTGTTCATCAATATCTTTTTGTTTCATTTGCATATTTATATGAATCGTTATATAGTCATACATATATATATATATTGTTATTTTCAGATGAATACTAACAGCAAAGCATTTTGGCCTATCGTAGCAGCAGTTAGTCTTGGCGTTGGTTTTCTCGGTTATTGTGTTTATTTCGATCGGAAACGAAGAAGTGCACCTGAATTTCGTGAAAAATTAAAAGCTAGTTAGTATTATGAATTTTTTGTATATTGACTAAGATGTTAAAGAGAAATACAAAAAAAATGTATTGTACGAAAATTGATACAAATAATTATAATGATTAATTTTTTATTTAGAACGAAAGAAACAAAAACAACATACTGGCGGTGGTTCAGGCGAAAGATTTACTGTAAAAAATTTTTTTCTTGTTTTACTTAATATAAAAATGATAGGAATGATTTATAATAGATTAATTCAAGTGATCCTGAAGAAATGCGTCGTTATTTTCTTGAACAAATTCAACAAGGTGAAGATTGTTTATCTCGTGGTATGTATTTACTTTTTTTCTTAAAATATTTTCATTTTAAAAAAAATTTCTTTTTTAAATCAAAAACTAGGTGATCTTGATAATGGTGTTGATCATTTAGCAAAAGCTATAGCAGTTTGTAGTCAACCTCAAAGTCTGATGTCGTTATTTCAACAAACATTACCACCTGAATTATTCCAAGAAATTATCATGCGTTTACCAAGAATTGCTCCAGTATAGAAATTATTTATTTAAAAGAAAAAAATTATAAAAAAAAAAATTTCTCTATTTTAGTCAGTACTTGGTGCATCTTCATCACCTTTCGGTGGTGCAACTATCTCCGAACCAGAATTGGAATAGAATAATGAAAACCATAACAACATGAAACACATTTGTTCCTCAGCTTTTTTCTTTCATACTTTCATTCAAGTTAGACTTTGTTGTATGTGTGTATATCTCATCTCGTTTATTTATATTCGAGTATGATAAAAAAAAAAAAATAGAAATACATAATACAACAAGAAGAATTTAATATATTGCTCTGCAGCATGATAGATCTAGTTAAATTTGAAGTAAATATTGAACTGAACTATTGACTTAATTCTAAAGCAAACAATTCATTCACAAGTCTATCAATATGAATAAGTATCAATTAAAATAAGAACATCAAATAATAATATCAGCAAAAAATTTATATTTTACAAAATAATTATTCAAAAGACGTAGGTAAAGTTAGTAGCAGATTTGCATTCTTTAGAAAAATATTTGTCTTAAGACTTGTGACCAGATAGAGCATCAAATATGCTATAGAATGAAAGCTTTTCTAAAAACTTCTATTGCAAACAACTGCTAAAAAAAATTCAAAGACCTACTTTTCAAGTACTATTTTTAGTACAAAACACAGTATTGTCATCAAATATTCGCTTTGAATGTTGTACCAGATAGAAGTCGATGAGATCTATCGAGTAATATCAAATTTAACTATGTTCATCCACAGAACGGATTTCTAAGTAGTCAATGGCTAGTCAGACAACGAATTTGAGCCAATTGTTTCGATATTGGTATCGCTCTACCTAGCTGATAGCTTCTTTTTGCCTATTCTCTTTATTTTTCTTTCCTGTGTTTGTTACTTCCCTATATAAACTGGTGTTGAATGGGAGATATGACAAAGATTCGTTTCAAGAGTTTTGTCAAAATTAGAAAACGCTTGTAGTAGAGCCAGACCTGATGCAATCTTTTAGTCATTATCAAATTCCATCTTACTAACAGTAGAGTTACCTTCAAAACACTGAGTTTTGAATCTTATTTTAATAACAATTCATGTGGACAAAATGTACGCAGTGGTGGGAGCCCCATGAAGAATATCGTGAAAGCCCACGCAGCCAACTCAAAAGAGAAAAAAGTGGGGATATCGCCGGTCTCAAATGAGAAACTTGTGAAAGCATTGAAGAAGCAAAAAAAAGAAAAATTTACGAAATGACTAAGAAATCCAAGCGGGAAAATGATAAAACTCATTGCAGGCTCAAAAATAGTCATTGACATAATTACACAGGTTGTAATTTTTTTTCCCTGGAACAAATTTCTGCATTTGAGTAACGACTTTAGGCATGTACTGTAATAATGATTTTGTGTTTGATTAATTTTGAATAAAAAGAAAAAAATACATTCATATTATAACTGTATTCATCCTTCATAATAAAAATTTGAAAGTATGAACATGTAAAAAGAAAAATAAACAAGCGATATTTTTCAATTGTATGTTTACATACATGACTCTCTTTCTCATGCATACAAGCAGATATTGTTTTAAGATCAATTTCTTTTGAACATGTGTTGCCTAATATTTTGTTTCGTAAATATACATTTATAATAAACATAGTTCTATTGACGTACATACTTTGGGCATACCAAAAGTAGTAGCGAAGGTGTCTTAATTCCATATAGACAGCTTGCGAAAACTTTCTTTCTGTATGTACTGTTATTAAAAACAATGCTCTACTTTTTTCCGTGATATATTCAATTAATGTACTATCCGAAAACAACTTTATTATTTTAATTTTATGTTAATAACTAACTCAATTCATTATTTAACTTTGATTTTGTTAAAGAATCAACAATGATTTATTATACATCTGCCATACTACTTCATAAACAAATAAAAAAATATTTTACACTTTTCGACTATAGTTATCAACTACAAACATTTAATTATTATTTAACTATATAGGAGGAGCCATTGCACGATGGAGACGAGCCAAAAGTGAACTATGTGCTCAATTGATCTGACAGATTTCAATGAAATTTTTCCTGTATATAATCGTCAAATAAAATACGAAAATACTTTAAATTTCATTTGCTAAAATCGTTCTCTTTTAGCGATATTCAAATAGGAAACGAGACATCCTAAAGTCAAATATGAAGGTATCCAATTTGATATCCATACATTCTATATTTCGCCAATTTTTCAACAATAAGGTTTTTAATGATGAAATGTTGTGCATATATACTACCATTGAGATCCAACATATTGATACACTAAAAATCATATTTCGACGTATTAGACAATATAGAGAGTTTTCATAGTTCCTAGATATAATAGTCTCTGTCTTGCGATGACGATTTCTATCGGTTATGACCGATCTATGAGCTTCCACTTTGGAATAAACTACTACCGACTGTCAACTATCAGCAGCAATTTTCAAAGCTTTGACCTTTTGAATTTGATCCGAACAAAGATCTCTTCGAATACATTATGGTTTTGAGTGTATCAATATGTTGAATCTCAATGGTAGTATATATGCACAAAATTTCATCATTAAAAATCTTATTGTTGAAAAATTGGCGAAATATAGAATGTATGGATATCAAATTGGATACCTTCATATTTGACTTTAGGATGTCTCGTTTCCTATTTGAATATCGCTACAAGAGAACGATTTTAACAGATAAGATTTAAAGTATTTTCATATCTTATTTGACGATTATATATAGGCAAAGTTTCATTGAAATCTGTCAGATCAATTGAGCACGATTGGTCATGAATATCATGTGATGACTTATACGGAAAGAAAATTTTTCTAGTTTTATATATATATATCAATGAATTGTCCATCATGAATAAAAGCTTTAATCTGTCTTTTACTCATAGAAAAAAAAATGATCAAATCGTTTCATTGAATAATAATAAAAATATTTATTGTCTAATGAATTCTTGAACATCTTATTTACATATAAAGAAAGAGATTGATGAGCAAAATATGAAATAGATAGAATGATTCTTTATAAGATTACTGTTAAAAAATAGAAGAAAATAAAAAAAGTTTTTGATCAAAGATAGAAAACAAAAAAAAAAAGTCTCATCGGATCATTTGGAAATTTAACCCTCGGATGGGCAAACTAATTCTTGGAGATAATATTAGAACATCTATTCGTATTCTATGATTTTGATTGATGAACCAGTATTCTTGCCGATATTAAATTAAAGGGCGGATATATATATATACTAGAGATCCTGAGACAATAATAATCTTCTCGAAGATTCTGGACAAGAATATTGAAAATAGACCAGATGTTAGGTCATGTACAAAAGGAATACAAGGAGAAAGGATATGCATGAAATGTAAAGTAATCAGGAAAGGAAAAAGAGAAATGCACTAGAAGAAATCAAAAATAGATTGTGGAAATAGATGCGTTTCATCGATGAATATCAACAGAACACAAGAGAAGAAAGATCTATGATTGTTATATGGTACTGTTCACAATGACACTGTGATAATAATAATATCAAAAGAAAAGAGAAAACATTCTCATAACCTGATTGAGATAGATATATTTAAAAATAGTTAAAATACCGAGATATTTTTCTTGAATGTCTATTTCATATTCTAGGCTCCAGATGGACTCCGCTTGGCCATCCGAAAGTTAATTAACCAATAAAATAGGAAATTATTCATTTTTAATATAAAAAAAAATGTGGAAATTCTATTAAATAAGGTTTTAAGAAATTAGAACAACTATGGAAGATTTATTTTAGAATTGAATATGATTTTTTTTTGTTATCTATTCGAAGTAAAACTAAAATAAGTAAAAATGTTTTATTTGTAATTTAACAAATATATTCTGAAAAAGTCATTGCTAATGTATATCCTAGTTAAGTGTAAATAAGTATCTGATAGATTTTCTTTCCATAGATTTCGTTTATAATTTCGAGTATGTTTTACAATTAAAAATCAATTTGAATAATATTTTCAAGAAAATTTTTATAATTATTGACAATAAATAGATGTAGAAAAATCTTTATAGTTCTATTCCATATAAAAATAGTTTAGTTTCTTTCTAACATATGTATTTATTATTTTATTTTATAATTTAATTTCTATTATATTTTAACATCTAACATAGAAAATGATTTATTAATTAATTATTCTTATTAATAAAAATATTCATCTTAAAATAAGCTTAATTTTTTTTGTAAATTGAATATATTTCATAATATAATATATTAATCTGGCATGTGAACAGTCATTTGGAAAAAAACGGAAGATTCAGGATGATTTTCGAAATGTTTTTTTTCGAAGGATAGCTTTCGAAAAAGAAGAAAAAAGGAGGATATAACATTTTCCGGTAAGAAAGACGTTCTCATATTTCAAACGCATGAACACGTCTATTTATGACGAACCAAGAAACTTACTTAGACTTTCAACGTTCTATAGTTGCCTTATTATCTCATAGAAGTTAAACTGAACAGTTATCTGTGTCTAGGAAATAATTCTCTCAATCATAGAGGCCTCTAGAAGATGTCATAATTTACTTTGAAAAGAAACAGTATTCGCTTGTTGTTGAGTCTCTTATCCAACAAATGTATACAAAAAAAAATGAAGCTTAGACAATCATTTTCAGTGTTTTTATAATCAATTCATTAAGAAGTTCAGATCAGTTTCATACTAAAACTAATATATGATTTAGCAGTCCATAAGAAGATGTTTCCTTTTAGATATGAATCAAAAATGTTTAAAAAAAAAACTTTTTAATATCGTTTCATGTATATTTTTCAAGTAAAGTGTAGAGAAGCTATTTTTCGTCAGAAAGAGACTAACATAAAATAATTTGGTATGTGTCGTTAAAAAATATTTTTAATGCATGCCATGATGAAAAGGAGACATATTTCTTGTTAAATTGTTAAATTTACATGAATTATTAGAAGAGAAATACGACTGTACTCGCCTTTATTTTCGTTTGTTACTTAGGCCAAGCATTAGTTGAAAACTTCAACATGATTTTTCTAAAAGATCCAATAAACTCATACGAACAGTGCCACTCATGAAAAATAGATCAATGTTCTTATCAAAAAGATGTTAAAATCTATAACAGAATGTAATAAGTAATCCAACACAAAATTCATCGAAACATCAATTAAAACTGGACTGAAAACGAAAAATTTCATAGAATTTTATTCTTAGAAGTCTTTTTTTCTACTAGCAAATAGCTATTGGCAAAGCATTTAGGTGTATTTTAAGAGTGACTATATTATTGCTAAGTATATATGAAAGATATTTCTCTCTAATTGTTATTTGGATAAGCATTCAGCACAAACTATTCATGTATAAGTGAAAGATATGGATGTTGCTGCAGATTATTCATGCAATGTTAGTGAATCGATTAATTGAAGCTGCATTAATAGCACTTGAGATATTTTTTCTTTGAACATTTCTTATTCTCGACGGTTTTTCTTTCTACCAAATTTATGCCATTCGTTATTTGTTTCTCCCAATAAACAGATCGTTATCGACTACCATTCATCGAACATTACTTTATTTTCTCTTTACTAATCCCTTTCATAAAGCACTTCTTTCTTAACTATAACATATATCAATGTACTACATCGTCATAATCATCTGACAAAAGAAACATCTACGTAAACGTAGAACATTCATACGAAGTATTATAAGGCACACAACAGTTCTTATTTTATGCAAGGCTGAGGTTAGATCTCTTACCGAAATAGTTCTTTACCGAAGTCTATCGTTTGACCAGAGTCTATTCTTCATTACACCAGAAATAGATATCATGAAGAGTGACAATTGTGTCAGATAGTTCGTACAGAATTTTATCTTGACCAATGTTGAAACTATTCAATTTCACAGTGACAAGAGTAAAAAGGAGGAAAAAGAGAAGTTGCGCATGAAAAGGAGAACAAAATATTTTGAAAAAAGGAGGAAAAGAAGGAGCATTTATCAGGCAGATATTAATTTCGATGATAATTTAATTTATTTTTTTATTTTTTTCGAAAATTAATTTTGTTTAAGATTGAATATATTTATTTAATAACAATTCAAATAATATTTTCATCTTATTTATTTTTTTTTTTCAGGTAAATTTATATTTTTTGAAAAGTACTTCAACAAGTTAGAATCATTAACATTAATTCAGTCAAAACAACTTATTAGTGGTATTGAATATTTACATAATTGTCATATAATACATCGTGATATACGTCCAAAAAACATAATGTGTGATTTTAATAATCAACAAATAAAATTGATTGATTTTGGTTTTGCAACAATATTTGAAAACAATGAAATAACAAAACCGTTACCTATTCGAGGAGCTATTTCACTTGGTAACCTAAAATTACTGAAATTTTGTTCTGAATTACCATTGGATTCATCATCTGATATACATTATGAATATGAACGAACATTTGATCTTTATTGTGCATTAAATGTCATTATCATTATGACAGATAGATATATAAATGATCAATTCTGTGCAATTGAACAAAAACAACTACCAACATATCAAAATAAAATATTAAATATATATCATTTTTGGTTGAATTTAAAAGAGAAAAATATAGTTTATTCGAAATTATTAGAATCAATTGACAATTTAAAAGAAACATCATATTTTGATATTATTATAAATGATTTAGGAAAATTTCCTATATTTAACAATTAAAATCATCTTTACAATTCAATGCATATTCATATTATTAATAAAAACTTATAAATAATTTCTTATTGAATATTTTTTCTTTTTTTTTTGTTCTCGTTAAAGTTAATTGTCATGGAAATAATTAATAGAGTAGAAAAAAAGATGATTTATTACATTTATCTATTTAATATGATATTCTATTTTCAAACATTTATATATTCAATATCAATATTGATATAAAAAAGAAAAGTTTTTAAATAAAACAAATGACATTATCGAAATAAATCTCCTTTTAAAGAATATAAATAAATGAAATATTAAATATTTCATTTAGAAAAAATTAATAATAATTTTATTTAATGTAGAATAATAGATAGAAGAATAGAATATTTAAGAGACGGTCCATGACTCAATCGACCATTTTCCACACAGGGTGTCATACAAAAAATGTTGACCCCTCCTACCCCCCGTTTTTTATTATTGCAAATGAAAGAGCATATTGAAAAAGCTCGAAATCGAAAATTTTAGCCTTTGTTGACTGACCTTTGAATAGATACGAAAGAAACTCGAAAATTTCTCGACAAAGCTCAAAAATGCTCTTTTTTTGCTTCTCAGTAAGTGATTATTTTTTTTTGTTAAGAGCCTATCGATTTCAATCGAATAATATCTCAAAAGATAGAGCAAGTTTCGCTCTACAAAACTCTATATTTAGATCTTCTTCAAATCCTATTTTAATATGATTTTGGGGTCAAAAACTTCAGAAGAAGGTCAAAAAAAACACGTGAAAACTTTGCACCGTTTTTTAGTATTTTTCTAGAAAAAATAAATGTGGAAACCTCGGATTTAAATCCGAGAGTTATGTGTACTTCAAAAAGTGAATTAGACAGATGAGTTGTCTTAGAACGTGTGAAGATCAAAATGGTCACGTGAAGTGAGCTTAAGTTGGAGTGAGCATAAGTCAAGTCCATTAGTCCATAGTATACCCATTTTCTATACATGATACCAAAATTTATCAGCAGCTGTCCTTAGTTGTCGATGAAAAATTTCGAAAATTTGAGATGATTTCTTCATCATCATCTAATGGTTCATTATAAATCAAGAGGACTATTATCTGGAGCTACTTTGTGAAAACAGACTTGTATGGCACTTGTTTCAGCTGATCATTTTTTTATTAAGAATAATACATTTAATCCTGTGTCTTTATAATGACATTTTTATCTTGATTCTTTTTCAATTTGACGTTCATTCAATTTCTTGAAAGTTTTCTAAGAGAAAACCGAAATCTTATCTAATAAGATGTACTTTTTCTTTTTTTTACTACAGAAAGGGAATATTCTTTAAAAGAAGAGATGAAAAATTAAATCTTTTAAAAATAACGTAAAACATTTCTGTGTAGATTGTATATTGTAGAAGTATCATTTCTTTAAAGCAACTAAAAAAATATTTTGTTGGGCTTTTCTGCATATGACAATTTGTGATTTGTGTGAGACTTTTTCCACTTGATTAGAAAAAGAATGGGTTTTTAGAGAATATATACTCTTGGTTTCATCGAGAATTAGATTTTGCCAGTTTTATTCTAACTTTCTTTCGTTATTCATTATATCCAGAATCAGCGTAAGCTTTTTTATTTTTTTTCGAACTTTGATCACATTTTATCCACATTGAACTCTTCATATTACTATATTGAATATGACATACTCTAACGTAGGATATCTTAGGTCAGGATTCGAGTATTTCCTGAAAGGATTCGTTCCACAAGACTTTCCAAAATAGTCTAATAACTTTCCAAGTAGAACTCGACGAGCTCTATCCAACCACATAATTCATTTTTCTCTAGTCCCCACCTCAAACCGCAGAAATCTCCAAATATCATCAGAAAAACGTGTAAAATGCAGACAATTCTGGAAAAACTTGTCGCGATTCGCCCAGGAATGCTTTCCAACTTAATCATTGAGTTTCCAGGTAGATCTTGGCGAGCTCTATCGAATGCATATCTGTGGTGCCCCATTCCATACTCCTCTCGCCCTCAAAACTTTCAATCCGCATCAGAAACTAGGTTTTTCAAATAATACTTGTCGCGATTCGTTCAGACGCACTTTCCAGCGAAATGATTCAACTTTCCAAGTAGATCTCCACGGGCTCTATCGAATTGGGACCCTTAGAACTTGATTCAATCCTTTTCTTCTGTGAAAAACGCGTGATTCGGGGCCCAATTGTTCAGTTTTTCAAGAAAACCCGAATCGATATGTCGAGAAGTACTTTCCAATAGAGATATATAACTTTCCAAATAGATCTCAACAAGATCTATCGAATGGACATCCTTAGAACTTGATTCAATGCTCCTCGTCCCAGAAAAATGTTTAATCCAGGGTCTAGTTTTCCACTTTTTAATAAAAGTCGTAAGGATTCACTAAGAAATACATTCCAACAGGGACATATGACCATCTAAACAGATCTAAATGAAATGTATCGAATGAGCAGCTTTTGAGTAAAACCACATGCTCCTGAGGAAATGAAATCAGTAAAAACTAGTCGAAATCCTAGGTTGCTCCGTAAAACTTCTCAAAATTCGCCTAGCAGGACTTCCTAACGTTCTCGTAGAACTTCTGAATTAGAGCTCAACGTGTTCTATGGATTGGACAGTTTCCAAGCTCCATTTGATGCCTCTATCTTTTGAAAACCTGTTATTTCCTGTAAGAAATTAGCTTTTTCGTGGCAGAACCTGTCATGATTCACTCCATCCTTGGTTCAAACTACATGATTGATGGTTCGAGCGAGAGCTCGAAGAATTCAATCGAATGGATACCCGGGTGAATGTTCTAAGGGTTGATGACGTACGTAGTTGCCTCCCGACCATATGTTTTATGCCTCGCAAAACATACAATGAATAGAATGAGCACATACCGGCACTCAACAGCTGTAATAGAATGGATTGAAGGGTTTTAATTCGAGGAGAACTATGAAACGAGAGGGGAAAGAATTTATCGTGCACGATATCAAGAGAAGGAAAAGAAAATTAATTTATCATGTGGGATAAGACAACGAGAAGAAAAATAACTCACCGCGCAGCATCTTATTTCGAAACGAAGAAATAGTTTCATTAGATGATTTCTGTAATCGAATTCAATGCTTATTTATTTTTTCTCTGCATGAATTAGGAGGAAACAAAAGAAACTACGTGAATCTGGAAGCATCCGCGCCAATTCCATGAAGTATCTTGATTCACTATGCAAAAAGTAGCATTTTGCTTTCGGGGAGGGTGGCGGGTACCCGAATCGGATGAACGAGCTGTCTGTTTGAAAGAGATTGCTGATATTTCTCTGTACAGTTTTGTCACCTGCTGTAAGAGTGATTCTCAGCTAAGCACACCGGCTTCAGTGTGAAAAAGCTATAAGTAGGCGGAAATTACTGGATCACGGTGGCACCCGATACACAAATCAGATCAGAGAAGAGTCTCTTACATAGAGCTCGTCGAGTTCTATCAGCAAAAAATTAACTATGTAGTTGGAACCAATGGTTGGCCGGATTGTGACAGACTCTTTCCACGAAAAACTGAATTTGTGACTTTGAATCGGGCATTTCCAAAAGCCAACTGTATTGGAGTCGGCTAAAAAGGTACTCCATCAGTAGAGCTGATCACGATCTACTTCAAAACTCTCATCTAGTTGTTGGAAAGTGCTTTCGAACGAATCCTGTAAGGTTTTACAGAAAAGCCTAGGATGCTTCGAGTTTTTTGCAGATTTTCTTGGCCTAGCATCATCTGATTCTGCTTGAAAGGTATCCAATAGGTAGAGCGCGTCAGATTCCATTGGGAAAGTAATGTATTAGAATTGCAGACAACTCTAGGGCGATTCGCTACGGCATTTATTGAAAAGCGAAACGAGTGGATCCTGGATCAGGCGTTTTTCTCAGAAGGAAAGCATTGAATCAAGTTCTAAGAGACTTCATTCGATAGATCTCGTTGAGATCTATTTGTAAAGCCATATGTCTCAGTTGGAAAGCACTTCTGGACGAATCGATTCGGGTTTTCTTGAAAAACTGAATAATTGAGCCCTGGATTTGACGTTTCTCTGGGAAGGAAAGCATCGAATCAAGCTCAAATGATGTCCATTCGATAGATCTCGTTTAAATCCAGTCGGGAAGTTATATGTTGGACTTAGAAAGTACTCCTGGACGAATCTCTTCAGATCTTAGGAGAAATCAACGGATCGAACCTGTGATTGACCGTTTCTGAAGGGAAGGATTTATCAAATTGAGCTTCAAAGGTGCCCATTCGATAGAGCTCGTCGAGTTCTACTTGGAAAGTTGTTAGACTATTTTGAAAAGTTTTTTGGAACGAATCCTTTCAGGAAATACTCAAATCCTGACCTAAGATATCCTACGTTGTTTGCTTTGATTTCTTGCTGAGAAAGATAGTTTGCTTTTTTCAATATCAGTGACAAAAGAATAAAAGTTGCTTTCATGTTTAGATATGAAACTGAGCCAAAAAAAAGCGTAGATTGCGTTATAAAATATTTTTTATCGAAATGTCGCCTGAGAAGAACCACAGAGGAAATGAATCGAAAAGAGTCAACGATCGAGTAGAGATTAAATTTTGATAAAAGATAATTTCTTATGTTAATTCTGGATATCATATTTCTTTTCCTTGTTTTTCAATTATTGATAGTCAAAATCTCTAAATACAAGGAACGTTTTTTGTTGTTTCGTCAGTTTTATTGAAAAAATTATTTTTCTCAATATGGAATCAAAACATAATTACACAATATTTTAACAATCTTAATAAATTATTTTTTTCTAGTCAATTATATGTTGTGAAACGAAAAAAGAAAATATTGATTAAATTGGAGAAAATGAAAAAAAAACTATTATATTCACAGCTGTATGAACCATTAACATATTTTTTAATGAAATCTCAAATTTGAGATTTTTTTTTTGAGAAACCTACTTTTAAAAATTAGACAGGCATTTTTTCTAGGTAATCCCATGTGTTCTATTTAATTATACATAAAAAAACAAAAAAAATA